CCACGGGCCCAGGTCCCTCGACCCAAGAGGTTCTACCTCACCTCCCCAAGCCCCTCCTCACGCCTCCCCACCCTCCGTGCACAGATGACAGGGTCATCCCACTTGAGAAACTGCACGGCCAGCCTTCCCCACGGATAAACAACCGCTCCTACGGCTCCAAATCCAGCTTGCCCACCTGGAGGGCTCTGGGCAGCTCCACACTCGCCGCTGGGCCCTGCGCCTGCCCCGGACTCTGGACAGCACCACAGGGCGAGGCTCGCGGGCCAGACTGACTCCTCACGGGTGATGCGCCGCCTCCATCCGCCAGGGATCCCAAGGGCCGGGCTTCTGACCTCTCCTCGCGACCATCCTCCGCTTCTTCCCTTTCCCCACCTCGGAACCTTTTGGGGGCCCTCTCCCCCTCAGCACTGGCAGTCTCGTCCTCTGGCTCCTTCCTGCGTTTCCCTCCCGGCTGGGACTCCCTGTCCTCCTCTTCCCCTTCAGGGTCTGGAGCCTGGGGCGATTTCAGCCTCCTGCCTCCCTGGCCCAGCCGCCTACAAAGGCTTTGGAGCTGTGCCTGGCACCCTTTGGACAGCAGAGAGGCTCCCTCCACGGAGACCCTGGGCCCAAGGTCTCTTTGCAGCGATTTCCCCAGGGCCCGGAGCCAGGCATCAGGGGCAGAGCTGGAGTCCTGCTGGGCGATCTGCAGCACAGCCAGGAGCTGGCTTTCAGGCAGGGATGGCCAGACAGCCATCAGCAGGGACAGCAAGTTCCTCTGGCAGAACTGGGGCAGGCGCAGCAGCAGTGGCCTCCTGGGGAGCAGAGGGAGAGCGAGCAGTCAGAGCATCCCGCCACAGGGAGCCTGCATCCCAGACGGCCAGGAGGATGGAGAAGGGACAGCCCGGGGCCGCTGACCAGCGTTCATTGAGCATCTATTATCACCTGGCCCTGTTATTTGAACTCCTGGACTTCTATTTCAGCTAAAGGAAAAAGATTCTGCGTTGGAACCTAGTCTCTAGTTCCATGCTTGTTTTATGTAATGGAAAAAGTCCACTCCCATATTTGCGGAAAAATAATGATCCAGGAGATTGCACACAATTTTAACACAAGTGTCTGTTTCATATGAGTACATATACTTACACAGAAAGAATACATTCAATTTTTTTTTTTTTTTTTGAGACCGGGTGTCACTATGTAGTTCAGGATGCCCTTGAACTCACTACGTAGTCCAGGCTGGCCTCAAACTCTCGGTGATCCTCCTGCCTCAGCCTCCTGATTACAGGTGTGCACCACCACTCTCAGCTGCACTCCAGGTTTTTGGAGGTACAAGTATTCAGTCAAAGTCGACAATTCAGTCAAATTGACTCCACTTACAATTGCGCCTACAGCAGGCCCCTCCTCCCCTCGCCCTGGGGACCATTTAACCTCTCTGGGCTCAGTCTGGCCCCCTAAATTACTGCACTGACAAGGACTTACAGCTCCAGGCGTCCGCCAGGGCACGACACCGGCTCCTCCTGGCACAGTGCCTCCAGAAGGCCGCTCCAGTCGAGGGGCTCCCCGTCGCGGCGGCCCAGCGCTCGCAGCACCCCGAGGCCCCGCCGCACCCCGTCAGGCCCGGCCTGTAGCGCTTGCAGCAGCAGGCGGGCGGGGGCCTCCAGGGGTGCCCAGGGCACGGACCCCGCGCCCTCACCCCCAGGGGGCGCAGCCTGCGGGGTCGCCATGCGACGACCCCCTTCCTGCGCCCGCAGGAGCCCGGTTCCCGCGCGGAAGGAGTGGGCGGGCGGACGGGGCGGGCGGGCGGAGGTGCGCCAGAGACGGCGGTGCGCCAGAGACGGCGGAAGGGGCGTGGCCAGGAAACACCCAATCAGAGAGCGAGTGGGCGGGACCAGGTTTTCGGCCCGTCAGCGAACCTGGGAGGAGCCAGAACGACAGGTTGATTTGTGGGTGGAGTCAGGTCGCATGCATTCGGCTTGTGGGCGGGGCCTGGCGGAGGGGCGGAGGCGGTACTGCTGACCCCAAGCCTCTTCCTCCACTCTCACAGGAGCCGTGGGGCGCGGGGGATGTCAGGGTCCTGGGTGCTTAGGGCTCCAGGCTGTGTTTAATTTTAGTCGTCGCCCCTGTCGCTTGTAGATCATGGGCCTTGCTGTAAGAGTTGACGCCCATTTACCACCCTTCCACATACCAAAAACTAACGGTTGGAAATGCGTGGCGGTCGATATCCCTAAGGATGGCGTCGCGCCGAAGCCCGCTGCCATCCTTGTGGTCCCTGCCTTTCCCGCGCCGAGCAGCAGCCTCACCTTCACGGCTCACAGGAGCCGCCCTGCCTTCCTGAGCTTGGGTTTAAGGCCGGCTAGCGGCGTCAGGAGGCTCCCTTCAGAGGAGAAAGAAAGGGAGACGGGGAGAAGCCCGGCTTCTGCGCCGCAAGCACCCAGTTATCAGTGTTGACCGAGCCAAGCCCGGGGCTCGGCGTTGGGAACCAACAGATCACTGCCCTTGTGCTGCCCACACAGCGGGGAGGGATAAAGCTAAATAAGCGCACAGCAGCATGTTTGACTGCGAGAAGTGCGTTCCAGGACACCGCAGCTTGGTGAAAGACAGTACTTTTAAACAGGATGAAAAAATAAAAAAATAAATAGGGGCTGGGGATATAGCTCAGTGGCATAAGCGCCTGCCTGGCAAGCGCAAGGTCGTGAGTTCGATCTGCAGTACCGCAAAACTAAAATAAAATAATAAATAAATAAATAAACAAACGGGGTGATCAGGCAAGGGGAACCAAGGAGGAGAAGGTCAGCGAGCCGGCAGGAGTTTGTAGGAGACCTTGTCAGGCAGAGCAGGAAGCCAAGCAAAGGGCCTGGGGCAGATGCAGGGTTGGAGCCCCAGCACTTGCTGCAGATGAGCGCAGATAGGTCTCAGAGCACCTGGGCTTTCATTCAGAATAGTACGGAGCCTTGGGAGTATTCTGAGCTTGATCTGATTTTCACTTAAGCCAAATTTTGTTTCATTTTCTTCTAGAATAATTTTAATGGAACTCGTGGGAAAGACTGAGGAATATTTCTTAGTGTCTTAGCTTCTTCCAGGCTTTTTTTTTTTTTTTTTTTTTTTTGAGACAAGGTCTCACTATGTAGCTGTGGCTGGCCTTGAACTTGATCTGTAGCCCAGGCTGGCCTTGAACTCACCTTGATCCTCCTGCCTCAACCTCTGGAGTGCTAGGATTACAGGTGTGCACCACCTCGCCCGGCCCTCTCCCAGGCACTTTCTCTTCCAGGGGAGCAGTTCTAACTTTGAAGAGGAGGTTGACTAGATGGCGGGGCAGGGCTGGCCAGCAGCAGGTGGGGCCATGCATGCCATAAAGAGGGTGGCACTGCCATGACAGTCTCAAGTACAGCCCCCTTCCCTCCCACTAGGCTCCAGCTGCTACAGTCTGGTTTCTAACCAACTGCAAGAAGAACAGCAGGAAGAATTCTCAATATGGTTCACTGGCAGGGGTGCATGTGTGTGTGTGTGTGTGTGTGTGTGTGTGTGTGTGTGTGTGTGTGTCTTGAGACCCTTCCCCAGACTCCATGAGGTCATTACTGTTTTTGCTGATGTTTGTGATGGTATTTGCTGGATGTTGGTCACACAAATCTGTAACCCAGCACTCTGGGAGGCTGAGGCAGGAGGATCGCCAGTTCAAGCCCACCCTGGACAATTTAGTAACTTAGTGAGACTCTTTTTTTTAATTTGATTTTTTGTGTGTGTGGTACCAGGGATCAAACTCATGACCTTGTGCTTGCCAGGCAGGCGCTTATGCCACTGAGCTATATCCCCAGCCTGTTAGAGAGACTCTTGTCTCAGAACAAAAAATTTAAAAAGAACTGGGATGTAGCTCCGTATGAAGGCTCTGGGTTCCATCCCCAGGGACACACACACACACACACACAAAAGGTGTTTGCCCTTCCTGCTGTCATCCTCTCACAAGCATCCAGTGAAGTTTTCCAGATACCACATTACCATAACAGTGCAAGAGACAGAACGCGGGGCAACCTTGCTCCCCCGGTGCGGGGAGGGTAGGAGCTGACCACTGCAGGCATCACAGCCATGTGTTAGGTGCATTTTATTGGTTTTCTTTCCAAATCCTTCTACAAGAGAGTAAAGCTAAAAACCAAGCCCTGGTGAGCAGCAAGAGCCTCCCTTGCTCTGGGAGGCCTCCCACCCTCCTGTCCCCCACTGTGGGCGGAGGACCTGCTACTTTTCCCACCACCGAACTGCCAGGGGAAGGCCTGCCACCATGCAGAAGGCCAGGCTAGTAGGAGCTACCAAGATCCAGCAGGAGCTCAGGGCCCCCGAGGGCCAGGGCCAGGGCCGGGGCACGGCCTGGGAAGGACACGTCATCCACTTGCCTGGTGGGTCCCAGGAACAATGTGGAGCCCGGCACCTGCAGGGAGAGAGAGAGGGAACAGCCTCAGCCACAGGGGCCCAGGAACAGGGAACAGGGTTCGCCTCAGGGACTGGGGGTGGGGGCCGCACGCAGGACAAGGGAGCCCCATTAGGTCTAGGGACCATCTACCCTCTCTACAGATGTCAGAGGCTTGCAGTCACTGTGGTCGTGCACTGTAAACCTCTGCGTCGGTTCCAGCCTCGCTGCCCGGGACCAGTTGCACAATCTCAGGACAGGGAAAGGCGGAGGCCAGCGCCGGCTCCGGGAGCTGGTGCAGGTAGATGCAGCCGGATCTGAAGGGGCAGTGGCCGTTCCCCTCCATGAAGAACCGGCACTGGATCTGGCTAGGAGGGGGCAGAGGAAGGGAAAGACCATCACCTTGAGCTCTTGTTCCAGGAGCAAGGGGAGCTCAAAGCTGATCCCTAAGGTGGGGCAGGTTGTACACAGCAGGAAAGCACCCCTCTAAACCGGCACCACTGTCTGGCATTGATTCCACCAGATTCCAGCAGATGGCAGTGGAGTGACTTACGGCTGCCTTTCTCTAATTTTGTCTCCCGGGCCAGCACAGGCTACAGGAACCCCCTTTCCTTCAAAAAAGTTTTAGTAATAATACTGAAAGAGGAGCGCTCATAGATCAGCCTCAGGTGTGTCTCAGCAATCAAGTTAAAAGCCGGGCATGTGTGATGGTCCATGCCTGCAATCCTAGCACTAAGGAGGCTGAGGCAGGAGGAGTGCTGTGCATTCAAGGCCAGCCTGGGCTACATAGTGAGTTCCAGGCGAGCCTGGGCTATATAGTGAGATCTCCATCTTGAAAAAAACAAAAACAAAAGAACCCCAGGAAAACAAGTTAGAACAGTGACTGGGCTGCAGGGTAGACTTAAAATGTGGTAGCTGCTGGCTAATGTGATTATCAAACGTCCCACTGAAGGGGCTGGGGATTTAGCTCAGCGGCACAGCACCTGCCTGGCAAGTGCAAGGTCGTGAGTTTGATTCCTGGTATCGGAAGAAAAAAAACAAAAATCAAACTTGGTTTAAAAAAAGGGCTGGGGATATAGCTCAGTGGCATAAGTGCCTATTTGGCAAGCGCAAGGTCATGAGTTCAATCCCCGGTACCACAAAAAAAAAAACTTCCCACTGAGATTTGAATTTTACTCTGAAAGGCCAGGTTCAGGGGAAAGTTGTAAACAATCTGTGGTCTGCTTCAGTTAGACCAGCTTGCTTGCTTGCTTGCTTGCTTGAGATACCATCTTACTATGTAGCTCAGACTGGCTCCATCCAACTCACAATCCTCCTGCCTCAGCCTCCTGAATGCTGGGATTACAGGTTTGTGCCACCTTGCCTGGCTGAAACCAGTTTTTTCTGGCACAGAAATAATCGAGTGAGAAGAAGGCAGAGCACACACTGGCACCCTTTTCCTAGCGTCCCTGTAAACAAGTATCCCTTTCTCTTCCTACCATCTGACCCAACCCAGAGCCACGACCGCCTCTACATGGAAGGTGCCACGCAAATTCCTCCCAGCATCCATCCCTCAACCGGCCCCTGCGTGACAGCATCAACCCCTGTGCAGGAAACATAATAATCTTCCATTGTCACTTGGTCACCCAGGTCTGGCCTTCCTGTCAACCCCCTTCCTGCTGGAACCACCTGTGAACCCTAAAACCTTAAGCCAAGCCTCCCGCACCCCTCTCCTCCCCACACCCAGCTCCAGCTGCTGCCGGTGCTCCTTTCCTTGGTGGCTGCCCTTGCAAGAGTTCCAGACCCTATCGGCAGAGCAAGGATGACTGTCTCCCAGGAAGGGGCAAGACCTGCTTCTTGATCTCTCACCCTGTACCCTGATACAATGCGTATGTCAGCTGTCATAATCCCTGGAAAGGGGCTGGGGATTTAGCTCAGCGGCACAGTGCCTGCCTGGCAAGCGCAAGGTCATGAGTTCGATTCCCGGTACGGGGGAGGGGGGGAATCCCTGGAAAGACCCAGGCCTGGTGGCGCATGCTTGTCATCACAGCTCTCTAGGAGGCTGAGTCAGGTAGATGGCAAGTTTGAGCCCAGCCTGAGGAATTTAACACTTTGCAAGATCCTGTCTCAAAAGATAAAAAGGGCTGGGGATGTAGCTCAGTGTGAAGGCCCTGGGTTCAATCCTCAGTACCAGAGAAAGGAAGGAAGGAAAGAAGGAAGAGAAAGAGGGAGGAGGGAGGGGAGATGAAGGGAGGACGGATGGAAAGCCGAGCAGGTCTGTCGTGGTCCCCAGAGGACCGAGTTACTGAGTGACCCTGCAGTGTGTGATCTGAACCAGGTTAGGAAAGACCCAGCGCTGCCCTCCCTGAGGGACTCAGCTTGCTGCACTCGTGCAAGCAGGTCACACCCCACGCCAGCACCATCCCTCCCCAGGCCAGCAGCCCGGCACCTTCCCCTGCCTCTTCTGCCAGCCTCACCGGGTCCGAGCTGTGAAGCTCCGGATGAGCTGCTCCTTCTCGGGCCCCTCACTCACCCAGAACTTGTAGGGGATGATGTAGCTGGAATAGACACGGCACTGGGGACAGGCCCTGCAAGGGGTGGATGGCACAAAGGTGGGGACGGTCACAATCCCACCGGCCAGCTGTCCTGTGACCCATACCTCTCAGGGGGGTCCCCAGAGGCAGACACTGACTTGATGACTTCCAGCGGCAGGCGCGGGGTCTGGCGCCAGGTGCGCAGACAGCCCAGGCAGTAGGCGTGGCTGCAGTTGGGCAGGATGCCGAAGACCCTCTGGGCCTCAGGCTTGTCCCACACTCTGTCCCTGCAGATGCCGCACACCACATCCCGGCTGTCCTGCCGGCCCTGCAGCCACAGGAAGTCTCAGCCACCCTCCTACCACTGCCCTGAACCCAGCCCAGCCCTGCAGGGCGCTCCACAGGCCACCCGTCCCAGAGGCCCGGCGTGCGGCCCTCTGCCACCCAGGCCCACTACCTCTGTCAGGTCCAGGTTCTGCAGGGTGCCCGAGAGCTCCTGCACAAGGTCTGACCCAGGCTGAGGCTCCTGGGCACGGCTGGGGGTCCCAGCAGCAGCTGTGAGGGAAAACTGGATCCATCACTCAGTGGTATGCCATGTGTGGCACGTTGCTCAGCACTTTAAACCTCCCACATGAGCATTTAGACCTGCGCTGTCCAATATGGCGGCCGCCACCTGGATGTGGCTTTTTTTTTCAGTCCTGGAGACTGAATGCAGGGCCTTTTCACTGAGCTACATCCCCAGCCCTTTTTTTTTTTTTTTTTTTTTTTTGGAGACAGAGTCTTACTCAGTTGCTAAAGTTGCCCACACTGGGCTCAAACTTGGGATCCTCTTGCCTCAGCCTCCCGCAGTGTTCAGGTCACAGGTATGTGCCACCGCACCCAACTCACATATGGCTACTGAATGACCAGAATGGCTTTAGTACCAACTGACAGGTGGCCTGAGTGAAAAACACATGTAGGACTTTTAAAACTCAGCACAATGAGAGACCAAAATATTCACTAATAACATTTTATATCGGTGGCAAGTTGAAATGATAATATTGACAATACTGGACATGTAATTTTTGATATGTTGGGGTACATAAAATATTAAAATTAATTTCAAAAAAGTTGAAATCAGTTTCTTTTCTTTTTTTTTTTTTGTCTTTTTGAGACAGGGTCTCCATATGCAGTTCAGGCTGACCTTGAACTCACTTTGTAGCCCAGGCTGGCCTCAAACTTGCAGTGATCCTCCTGCCTCAGCCTCCCGAGTGCTCGGATTACAGGCGTGCACCACTACACCCAGCTCGAAATCAGTTTATTTAAAGAGTTACTTTTAAGCGCTTGCCTGGCAAGCCTGAGGTCATGAGTTTGATTCCCAGAAAAAAAAAAAAAAAAAAAAAAAGAGTTAGTTTTACCTTTTTAAAAATGTGGCTACTAGAAAAATTTAAATTAAAAAAAAAGGGGGCATAGTAGTACACCCTATCATCCCAGCACTCAGGAGGCTGAGGCAGGATTGTTGTGAATTCAAGACCATTCTGGGCTACACAGCGAGACCTTTACTCAGTGCCAGGCACTATACACGTGACATGTATGGTTGTCACATCCATGAAGTGACCCTGTGAGGAGAGTGCTATCCTCAGTGTTCTTGCTTTCTCTTTCTTTAGTTCTTTTTTGTTTGTTTGGTTTTGGTTTTGTTTTTTTCCCCCTGTACCAGGAATTGAACTCACGACCTGCGCTTGCCAGGCAGGCGCTGTGCCGCTGAGCTAAATCCCCAGCCCTCTCTTTCTTTAGTAATTGATCGTATTGATAGGTGACAGCACCCTTTATGCCCTTTTATAAATGAGGAAACAGCCTCAGAGTGGTTAAGTGACTTATCTGATGTAAACACAGCTCCCATTTGAAACCAGGTACCTTGGCTCCACGGGAACCGTGTGATTTTCCTTCTAAAACATAAGACAGCGACAGAGAGAGAGGAACGCTTCCCTGCCCTGAGACCTTGCGGAAGGGAGGAGTGGAAGGGAAAACTAGCGGACCTGCTCGCCCGTCCATCTGCCTGTGCCCGCCTGCCCTGCCCCTGGCTCGGACTCACATGATGCAGACAGGGACCTCCCGGTGCTGCCACGAGCCTCCTCCAGACCCAGCTCCGCGGCCCAGCGGGCCCGGAACCTGCCTCGGGCCCAGCCCGCAGGGGTGGAGGGCCGGAAGCTGGGCTCGGAGGCCCTGCGGGGCAGTTGTATCCAGGTCCCAGCCGGCACGGCGAAAAATGGTGGCTCCGAATAGCGGCGACCCCATCCGAAGAGCCCGGAGGGCGCCAGGTGCTGATAGCTGCCCGGGACAGAAGAACAAGGAGGCAGGTAACACCCACCCCGGCATTCCCTGTGCCCTCCCGCCCAGAAGAGGGGGCCTACCTGCATCTGTCTCCATGGCAACAGAAGCCGCGCTGGAAGTACCAGCAGACCCTGTCAGGGGCAAAGAGGCCGCTCAGCCCCCAGCGCTGGGCCGGAAGACCAAGTTCCTAAGAGATGGTCTGAGTCAGGCCCAGCCCCGTCTCAGTGTCCGCTTTTTTTTTTTTTTTCCCCCCCAGTGCTGGAGATTGAGCCCAGAGCATCTGCACTGAGCCGCATCCCCAGCTCTTTTTAATTTTTTTTATTTGGAGACAGGGTGTTGCTGAGTTGCCAGGCTGGGCTGAAACTTGCCATCCTCCTGCCTCAGCCCCACGGAGTGCGGGGATTACAGGAGTTGTTCCTGATGTATTTCCTCCAACATTTCCTCTGAGTGTCCGGGAGTCAGAACTCCACAGGCTGGCTTCGTGGGCACAGATCTGCACAGTCGAGGGCTCCCCACAAGGTAGAGAGCCAGTTCCGCCCAGTACCAAAAAATGCTGCTCCGCCGAGGTTCAACAAATTATTTAACCTTCCTGTGCCTCAACTTCCTTACTAGTAAAAATAGTACCTATGTCATGGGGCAACGTCTAGCTAAAATGAGACCCTGTGTGCCAGGCACGGGGTGCATAGCAAGGTCAGCAAGCGTGAGCTGTATCATTACTCATCAGTACCGTGATCACCATCACCATCCACAGGGTGGGAGGCGGGAAGTGCAAAGAGCTGGGTGTGGTGGCGTACACCCATAATCCCAGCACTCCGGGAGGCTGAGGCAGGAGGATCAAAAGTTTACCCCACCCTAGGCAATTTAGTGATTTAGTGAGAGTGAGACCCTGTCTTAGAATTTTAAAAAAAAAAATTTTTTTTTTTTTTTGGTCTTTTTGAGACAGGATCTCACTATGCAGTTCAGGCTGATCTTGAACTTACTTTGTAGCCCAGGTTGGCCTCAAACTCACAACGACCCTCCTGCCTCAGCCTCCCGAGTGCTGGGGTTATAGATGTGCACCACTATGCCCAATAGTACCATTCCTGGTACTATTCCAGTACCAGGAATCGAACTCACGACCTTGGGCTTGCCAGGCGGGCGCTGTGCCGCTGAGCTAAATCCCCAGCCCTGAAAAAAAAATTTTTTTTAAAGGGCCAGGGATATAGCTCAGTGTGAAGGCCCTGACTTCGATCCCCAGTACTGCAAAAACATTCAAAGAGTAGGAGGAGGCTAAACTGGGTCAACATTAATCGAGAATCTAGTATTAAGCACCGGGCCTGGGCCAGGGGTAGGGCTGGGGCAGGGCACATGGTGGCGGACTCTGTGCCCGTCAAGCCCTGCCTTGCCTGGGGCGTGTGGTACATGTGGAGTGGCCGTGGAAGCAGGGACAAAGGATGCTTCCTCGTCCCCGGCAAACACGGACCGGCCTGGTGGGCACATCGCCCCAGGGTCCCAAGGCCAGGCACTGGGCGAGAGCAGGTGGAGAGGGAAAGGTGGTTGCCAATCTCAGGAGCTCACAGGAGGCGGGAGCTGAGAGCACCAGGAAACGGTGGCAAGATGCCAGCCTCAGGTGCCACGCTTCGCGGGCTGACCTGGACACTCAGTAGCCCAAAGAATCAATACTTAGTGGTGTTTGGGGGAGGTATTTTAGATTGGACCCAGGGCCTTTGCACAGAGCTATAGTCCCAGCCTTTTTTTTTTTTTTTTTTCTCCTTTTAATTTGAGACAGAGACCTGCTAAGTTGCTAAATTGCCGAGGTTGGGCTCTTGACATTGCCATTCTCCTGCCTCAGCCTCCCAGAGTGCTGGGATTACAAGTGTGTGCCATCACGTGTGGCTTGGGCACTATTTTAAAACATCAACATTAATGCAAAAAAATCTATGGTGAACAAAATATTGAACTTTTATTTTTTTGGTTTTGGTTTTTCTCTGGTACCAGGAACCGAACTCACGACCTTGCGCTTGCCAGGCAGGAGCTTTGCCGCTGAGCTAAATCCCCAGCCCCTGAACTTTTAAATAAAGACTCCAATCCTGCAGGACACCTTGCTTGTCTTGCCTGGTCCAGACCCTGCAGCAAGACCACAAATAACCAAGACAGGTGTAGGTGGAGACAGGGCTTCATGCGGATAAGCAAGCGCTGAGATGCTAGCGCAGGTGCCCTCCATCCGCGCAGTGATGGTCTCATTAACTACCATCACCTTGTTGGGGCTGGGGCTGCTGATTTGGGGAGTTTCTCAGGCCAAGGTCTGAACCCAGGGTGGAGGGACAGAGGTCGGAGGTCACAGGTGGCCCAGGAGGTGGCAGGCAGGAGTGGCTGGAGCCCTGGCTGAGGAGTGATCCTGGGGAGAGCCCTGAGCCGGATATGGATGGAAGAGGAAGAATTGGGTGGGGCTTGGAAACGGCCCCTGAACTTTACAATCGGAGCCCAAACAGCTGGGCAGACACCGCCCCGGCCCCTTGCAGGAAGGAACCACTGAAAATCTCTTCTAGTAAACATCCTTTTCTCTGGGGGTGGGTGGGGTGGAGTGGGGGAAGCCTCTGTTGCTACCTGGCTGTCTTTCTTCCCAGACTAGGCAAGCCACTTCACACTGAGCTCCCCAGCCCTACAATATTCCTCCTTTACCCTAACTTCAGTTCTGTCGGGAGAACCAGTCACCTCCAGCTTCTGCCCAAATAACTGGCACCAATGTGTGCACGTCTGAGGGAAGGCTCAGGGGCTGGTGTGCCCTGATAGGGAGCTGGTACAGTCAAAGGAGCCACTCTCTAATGGTGTAATGCTCCACCTGAAAGGTTTCCACGCAAACATTCGTGACTACCTGGTCACAGGCGCGACGTGCCGGGGTCACAAAGGTGACCAGGAGGCAAGATCGCCCCCTCATGGGGCCGTTCGGTGTCTCTAGGTGGAGTGACCCTTGTGAGACGGAAGAGAAAGAAGGCGGGTAGGGAACACCTATAAGTAAGGAGGCCGGCACAGCCCGATCCCTGGGCAGCCTCGGGGTGCACTTTGCAGTCCCCTCCTCTGGACCATGGGGCACAGGGCACTTCTAGGGCCTTCTGCTACTGCAGTGGGGAGCGAAGACACGCTCCTCCCCAGATGCACCCCAAATTCTTAGAGACTGGGCTTTCCAAGGCCAGACGGAGCCCCAGAGGACGTCCCCGTTCCCCAGGGTTTCCCTGCAACCAGGCCCCTACCTGCGTGGCTGCTGGGGAGGGGGGTCGCTCACCCCACCGTGGCCGCTGCCATCCGCCCCTGCAGGATTCATCCCAGCTGCAGCCACTGGAGCCAGTAAGCGCTCCTTTATCCACCCTCAGCGGCAGGCCCGGGCCCAACCCGGGAAAGAGGAGGCCAGGCAGTCGGGCAGCCAGGCGGCTGGGAGGCTGGGGGCTCTGACACCCAGGCTGGGGGCCAGGGATCTTTGGGCACAGATCAGAGGACTTTAAGGGTCTGGGAAGGCAGGGTGACCTGGGAGCCAGGGCTGAAGGTCCAGGGGGCTGGGGGTCCTGTCTGGAGGGGATCTGTAATTGGAGAGCTAGACGGGGGCTCCCCGACCCCAGGCTGCGGATGGCGTGAGCGGCGGGGAAGAGGCAGATCCAACTGGTCGTGCGCCGGGCAGCTGAGGGGCCGCTGGAGCCCCGGTGTGACCCAGTCACAGCACCTGGGGCCGTGCTTGTTAAGGAAGCCACCTCGCTATTCTGGTCACAGACATTAGACTCTGGATGCCCCAGCATGGCCAGCTTGGGGAAGGGGCTTGCCTGAGTCTCTGTCTAATGAGGATGCCCCAAGTTGGATGGCAGCAAGCCAGCCGATCAGAGCCTCTGTGTGCACGCATTCAGGATGGGCGAGTCACTTGGCATGGGAGTGGCCCTAAGGCCCCCTCCCCATGGGCCCTGGATTTGGGTCCTCTGGTAGATTCTGGGCGTCCCTTCCTCATACCTCGGGGCCTGGCTGGCACCAGAGCTGGCCGGCACTCCAGGAACTCCACCAAGAAACCGATGGAAAGGGCAAAGGACAGTAGGTCAACCCTCCCCAGGGAGCTGTGGGCTCACAGCCAGCTTGGGCTCAGGGCGGACAGATTCCCAGTGTCCTTCATCAGTGACCAAGAGCAGCATGGTCCCTGGGGGTGGGTCCTGCTGGAGTGTTGGTCCTGGGCTGTCCCCTTCCCTGGCAGGGGGAGGCTGGGCCGAGCAGGGGCACAGGGCGCTTCCCCCGGGCTGAGGAGGCTGCACGCTGCCGGAGGCCTGTGAGCAGCGACAGGCTCTCAGGAGCCCTTTGCAGGTAAACAATGAGAAGCCTGCTTATCTGATGGAGCTGTCTGAGGATGAGATGAGCTCATGGCCCAGGCTCGCTGGCTCCAGGCCCGACGTGCAGCTCAGCACGAGAGCCTGGGCCAGAGCCAGGAGACCTGATGGGGCCTGGGACAGTGTCTTTCCCCACCCTCAGCCCAATATGTGTCTGTAGGGATGGGCCCGTTAGGAAGGACCATGACCTTTAAGAGCCCTTCCAGCTCTGTTTTTTTTTCTTTGCAGAACTGGAGATTGAACGCGGCACCCTCTCACTGAGCTACATTCCCTGCCCATTTTTATTTTTTGTTCTGAGACAGGGTCTTATTAAGTCACTAAATTGTTGGGGCTGTGCAGAAAATCTGATCCTCCTGCCTCAGCCTCCCACAGTGGTGAGATTACAAGCATGCCCCACCACACCTTGTTTTCCGCTTTTCTTGTTTGTTTGTTTTTTTTTCTTCCAGTACCAAGAATCGAACACACAACCTTGCGCTTGCCAGGCAGGTGCTTTGCCACTGAGCTAGCCCATTTTTTGTTTGTTTTTGTTTCTCTTCGGGTTCCGCTTTTCTTTCTGATACAAGGTCTTGCCATGTAGCCCAAGCTGCCCTTGAACTCATAATCCCCCTGCCTCTGCCTCCAGAGTATCTGGGATTAGAGGCCTGCACTACTGCACTCAGATTTTATTTCTAAAACCGCTCGTTTTTTTTTTATCTTACTCTTCCAAAGCCTGGACTCTCTCCACGAGAGTGTGCTGCCCTGTGTAGGAGGTAAGTAGGGAAGTTGAGACAGATCAAATAAGAATTCACTTACATGAAAAGAGAGGTTTTAAAATTGAATTTTAATAACTTTCTTTCTCAGTAAGTTGAAGCACTTGACTGGGAAAGCAATAGCCGTAAACATTTTTGTTATATATTTTACTTCTGCTGGATCAAATTGTTCTAAAGTTTTAATTCACTTTATATATACATTTATATAAAAATGTATATATTTTTAGAGGTACCAAGGGTTGAACCCAAGGTTTGGTGCTTGCTAGGCAAGCACTGTACAAATGACCTATGTTCTCAGCCCTTTACTTTTCGGAGACAGGGTTTCTAAATTGCCCGGATTTCCCTTGAACTTGTGACCCTCCTGCCTCAGCCTCCTGTAGGTGGGATTACAGGTATAGGGCACCATGCCAGATTTTTATTTTTAAATAATAATAAAACATTTATTTTCTATGCAATGGTTAATCATTACATTTGTTTTAGAGTTCTGGCCTCTAGTTTCTCAGGCTTAGTTTTCTCTGTTTCTTTCTCCTGTGAGGCTGAGATGGAACCCAGGGCCCAGCGCTTGCTAGCAAAGCACTTTACACAGAGCTACAGCCCCAGACCTGGACTCGGTTCTTTGTGTCTGCAGTCTTGTGGGAATTCTGCACTGCCTGTACTTGTGGTCCAGAAAGCTTTTGTATCTGCTTCTGCCAGGCTTCCCGGGGAGATTAACCAGCCCAGGACACTCTTTTCTTTAAAATAAAATTTAAAAAAAAAAAATCTCTAAAATTTAAAAAATAAAATTTAAAACATATTTCAGTATAGTCTTAGCTTTATAGAAGTATCACAAAGTACATAGTATCTTCTAATTTTCTTAAGGTTGCTTTCTATTTTAGTCTAAATGTTTGATTCATTTATCCTAGGCATTGTTAAAGACCCAGGAACAAAAGACTTTGGTCCTGAGTGAAACGCACAGGTCCTGAGGCTGGGGATGGAACAGGCTCCCCTTCTCCCTGGCCGCTTCCTCCGCTCCTGGCGGCACCTGGAAAGGTAGGTGATCACGCTTCTCCTGTTGGGCTGTGCCGTCGACTGGAGGTGATGTAGGGGGAACAAACTGTGCACGTAGCTGCTTAACACAGAATAGCCCTGACCTTAACGCAGAGGCAGAGGGACACGATGCTGCTTATGTCTCTGCAGCACGGGAAGTCAGTGGGTTTTGCAGTGGCGGGGTGCATTCTCCACTGGTAGCCCCTGGTCGATCCATTTTCCATCCAGCCCGGGAGGTAAGACTGGCTTCCTTCAGTTACTCCTTTCTGGAGGACCTCAATTTCCCCTTTTGCTCTTTTAGTCCTTTTCATTCTTTGTAACAATTCCTGGGGTAGATTCCCCATTTGGAAATATGTAGCAGTGTTTTGTCTGCCTGACTAGATACGCGCTGCTACAGGTGGTCAGAAGTGTGCCCATAGACTCATGTGTTGGAGGTGCAGTCCCCAGCTTGGTGCTACTGGCAGGTGGTGGGAACTTACGGTGGGGCCTCACGAGAGGTGTTTAGGTCACTGGGAGTAGACCCACCAAGGGAATCCTGGGATACCCCACCCTTGTTTTTTCAGTACTGGGGACTGAACCTAAGGCCTTCACACCCTTCTTTTTTTTGAGATGGGGGCTAAGTTGCCCAGGCTGGGATCAAACCTGTAATCCTCCCGCCTCCACATGCTGGGATTACAGGTGTGCACCACCATGCCCAGCCCTTTGTGGTTTTTTTTTTTTTTTTTTGAGATAGGGTTTCACTAACTTGCCAAGTTGTCCAGGCTGGGTTTAAACTTGCACTCTTCCTGCCTCAGCCTCCTGAGTGCTGGCACTACAAATGGGTATACCTTGTCTGGCTTATTCCTGTTTCTTTGCTTCCTGGTGAGTGGTTTTATTCTACCACATGCTGCTGCAACTGACATGCTGCCACAGGCCCAAAGCCACTTGTCCATGCCCAGGTCAGATGCCCGTGAACTGAAACTTTTAACACTGCAAGCCGAACAAACCTCTCAATTTTCCTGGGTACTTGTTACAGTGATGGGAAGCTGACGAGCATGCACACACCTTGATCTCGCTTCATGCCACAGCCAAACCCGTTGGCTGCCAAGGGCTGGCTTGACTCTGTAGCCCCCGTGCCAACGGCCCTGCTGCAGTGAAGGAGAAAGCCACTGTTGGCTGAAGGGAGGGAAGCCCTCTCTCTCGGGGCAGTGGTGGGCTTGCTTTGGTTTTAAAGTCCCACACAGCACTCAAGGCCTGGAGCTCACTCCACCCCCAGGGCCCCCCATGGCCGTGGGACCCGCGGCTTCTTTCTGGATGGCACTGCGGTACCACTGGGCCTCTTACAGAGAGCACATCCTCTCCCTCTTCACGTCCTCTGCTGGGCAGGATGGCACCTTCACCTCCTCCACACCCATAATAAGTGGGGGCTCAGCAGCCACCACAGCTGCCTGCACCCCAGAGCCCCCTTTGCCCCTCTGCGGGTGGAGGAGGAGGAGGTGGAGGAGTCCTCCAGCCCAGACAAGAATACAAACAGCAGAGTTGGCCTCAAGTCAGCTCTTAAATACTTAATTCCCATTTATTTAAAGTTTAAAGTTCTGTCAGTTTGTGTACACTATTTATATTAAAAACACAGGAAGTTGGGCTCCTAGCAAAAATATACATTTCAGTATTGGAGATTGCAGAGACACTGAGGTCCAAGGCCCTCAGCAAGACGGGGCGGTGGGGCGGGGACGGGCACTGCCCTCCTTCACAGCTTTGGCGCAGAGGGCAGCACCCCGGCACGAAGTCGGCCTGGCCGGCGCAAGGGCAGACAGGCCAGGATCTCCTCGTAGACGGGCCCTGGTACACAGGTGGCCACCAGCTGGCAGGGGCAGAGGCGGGGCCTGTGCTGTCTCCAGGCCATTTCCTCCCAGAGCCATGGCCAGATGGAAAGGCCCCTTGAGGAGGACGACCAGGCAGGGCACAAGAAACCCAGGTTCGAAAGCTGGCTCAGCTTACCATGAGGCCCTAGCTGGTCCCTCACCCCTACCGGCCCGGCAGGCTCTCCTGCTGATCGTGCACACCAGCCTGGGCCTCGGTCCCTCCTCTGAGGTGACTGGACCTCCAGCAGGGGCTGAGGTGCTGGCCTGAGCCACAGGGCCAGCCCACATAGACGCAGAGGCCGCGCAGGGACAGTTCCCAGAGATCAGCTCGCTGTCTGTCCGGACAGACAGGGCAGTGTGCCCCGACACCCTGCCCACTTGGACCTGCCTGGCCCCAGGACAGAGGCTGCCTGGCACGTACCTCTCAGGGAGAGGGAGGGGGAGGGGGAGGCACAGAGATGCGGGTAAAGTGATTGCAGTGTAGTGCAGGGTGTGCGCTGCGGAGGCAGCGCTGGAAGTGTCGGGTGGGGCCGGCCCAGCACCTCCTGCTGGCGAAAGGGGCAAATGTCAGGCCCGGCACTGGGGGCTGACATGGGGTGGCTGCTGCCCGGTGGGGAGCGGATGCTGATGGAGGCCTGCCCCAGGACTCAGAATTAAGTGTCCTGTTCCTTGCCACCAGCCTCCACTTCCCCCCTTCTCAGTGGGGTGCAGGGCCCCACCTGGAGGGAGCCCTGGTTCCGACCGGGCTGGGGTGCAGCCAGCGCAGCGGCCACTAGCCACGCTGCTCTAGAAGACTGGTGCAGAGAAAGGCAGGCTGTGGGGACGCCGGGCTGAGAGGGGCTCGAGTCTGGGCCCAGCCTTGGTCTCCAGCCGGGAGGCAGTGCGGGTCTTGGCCAGGCGCCCTTCCCACTGTCCTCTGCAGAGGAGCGCGACCACAGGCTGCGGCTGCGGTGCTGAGTCTAGACTAAGCTTCTCCCAGAAGCCCCACCCAGAGCTGGGTGTTCCTTTGGATGGCTCCGTTGGCAGACTGGGATCAGGAGGCGGGGCCTGAGGACAGGGGGCGGAGCCTGAACGGGGAGGCGGGGACTGAAGATGGGGGCGGGGTTGGCCTGGAGTGGGGCGAGCTGCTCTTCTGAGAGCGAGGTGGGAAGGGAGGGTCCTGATCTAGGCTGCTGGTGAGAGAACGGACTGTCTCAGACGGGAGAGATGCAGGATGGGCAGGGAGCAGGAGGGGACACAGGTACAGAGGGAAGAGGGAGTTGGCAAGACCGTAAGTGAGAGACACAAAGAGAAGCTGCGGGAGCAAAGCAGGGGAAGGGACCGGCGGAGCCAGGGCCGCGCGCGCCCGGGCCCCTGCGCCTGCGGAGCACCGAGCACCGGCTCAGTACATGTCCTTGTAGATCTCCTGCAGCAGTGGGTGCAGCAAGGTCTCGGTCTCTGTCTTCTTGATCCACTGCATCATCTGGGCGTGCTCGGTGACCAGCTGCCGCAGGTCGGCCATCTTCTGCAGCAGCTTGGGGAAGAGGTACTGGGCGTCGGGGTGGTTGACCTGCAGGTGGAACTCGAGGGCGCGCAGGATGGTGTCCTGGATGGCCTCCACCTGAGGCACGTTCATGAGGCCCGGCCGGTCTATGGGGACAGGGACACGCGGGTCTCAGAAGGGCAGGGGAGCTCCTCTGCCCCACCTAGGGCCACCTGGGCTGGGACAGGCAAGCCCTGTCCTGTCAGTGACAGTGCCGCTGAGTTCCGGCCTCAGCCCCTCTCTTTTGTGTCCTGCCCATAGCGCTTTTCCTGATCAGGGAGAGGAGTAGGCACCATGGTTAAGAGACTCTGTGTGTGCCTGGGTTCAAATCCTGCCTCTCCCACAGACTACCCAGGAGGTCCTGGGCAGGTTACCCACCCTCTCTGGGCTTCTGTCTCATCTGTAAAATGGGAATAAAATAGAAGAACCTCTAGCCTGAGGTTGCTGAGGACCAAATGAGCTATAATTATGAAAAGAGCCAGGCATGGTGGCCCACGCCTGTCATCCCAGCACTCGGGAGGCTGAGGCAGGAGGATCGTTGTGAGTTTGAGACCAGTCTGGGCTACAAAGTAAGCTCAAGGCCAGCCTGAAATACACAGTGAGACCCTGACTCAAAAAGACAAAAAAAAAAAAAAAGGCCAGGGGTATAGCTCAGCAGCACAAAGCACCTACCTGGCAAGTGCAAAGCCTTGAGTTCGATTGCTGGTACCAAAAAAAAAGAAAGAAAAGAAAAGAACTGGAACAGTGTATGGCATGAGGTAAGCGCTATGCCACTGCTGGTGAGCAGGCTTGTTATTGGGTTGGAATCTGAAAGTGCAGGTGAAATACAGGTTTGCCCATCACCCCAAATAACCCCCACAGACCCCCATGGTTACTTTTTCCCGTCTCTTCTCTCTGCACCTCCATCTGTGTAATGAGTCGGAGCCGATCCTCGAGTGCAGCACCCGCCCTGTCTGGGCTCAGGCCCGGTGCCCGGGGTGTGGTCCGCCTGCCCCAGCCTCGCTCACCTCCGCACAGAATGATGGCCGCGATGAACAGAGCCAGGTCACTGTCGTCGAGTTCCAGGGCATTGAACTTGACAGCAAACTCAAACTTGGGCTCAATGATGTCACTGAAGGGCTTGCGCAGGCTGCGCAGGAACTCGTGGGTGACAAAGCCACTGCCGTTGGCCACCAGCAGCCCGTCTTTGTTGACGATGGAGGCCAGCATGGCGAAGATGGCCTCGTGCACGCCGTACTTGAGCAGGGTCACCTGGTCGTTGAGGAAGAGGCTGCTGAAGTTGGGGATGCTCTTGGCGAACTCGGTGAGCTCGCGCACGGTCTCCACCGTGGTGCACTGGCAGCGGTAGAAGACGTGCACGCTGATCTCCTTGTAGGGCGGCAGGCCGTTCACCAGCTGCTTCCACACCAGGCCCTTCTCCGCCTGCCACAGTGTCTCGATGTCGTGGATCACGAAGGGCTGAAAACCAGGCCCCGTCAGAGGCCAGGCCTCGGGGGGTCCCCACCCCGCGCTCCCACACCCGACTGCACCGCGTCGTCAGGGCTGCCGAGGCTGCCGGCCGGGCAGTGACACTCACCGCTGTGTGGCTGGACTTGCCGGTGAGGATGCTGCGGGCCTTCTTTTTGGTCATATTGAAGTTTTTTAGGTAGGCCTGGTAGATGTGCTTGGAGAAGGCCTTCAGGTCAGCCAGCTGCGGGTCGTGCTGGTCCCCCTCGCTGGCTGTCAGCCCCGCCACCAGCTTCCTCTTCTCAGCCTCCGGCATCCGACCAAAGCGGATGGCTGCACAGGAGGGTGGGGGGCAGTGACCGAGGAGCCGGGCAGGGGCAGTACCCCAGCCTTCCTGTCCCCCCTTGGGTGTACGGGTAAGGACGGAGGCCTAGTCCTGTCCCCTCAGAGGCTCCAGAGTAAGCAGGACAGCACTGGGGCGCCCGTCCCCAGACCTCAGCCCATGAGGACAGGGCTGTGTCTCCCTCACAGGGTCTGCACTTGTCCCGTGACTGGGCCCCAGCTGGGAGGCAGCAAGCATGGCACCTCACGGGCAGTGCAGCTTTGGGTGGGCCGTCTCACCTTCTGTCAGGAAATGTGAGCTGGAGGCTTAAACCTTACTGGGTCATTGCAACAATTTAATGTATGTATTTCCTGGAGCCCCAGCTACCCAAAAGGCTGAGATGGGAGGACCGTGTGGGCCCTGGAGTTCAAATTCAGCCTGGGCAACAATCTCCAACAAAATGCAGGATATGCATCTGCCGTTTGTTATAGAAAAAGTGAGGAAAGGATTCAGTCAGCCTGAGTCTTCCTAGGAACCCCCGAAACCTCCAACAGAATGGGGGCCAGGGCAGATACAGACCGAAGGGGGAAAGGTCAATGCCTAGGTCTGCCAGAGCCCAGGAAAAGCCGCAGATGGGGACTTGGGTCCCACCACTCGCTACCGTGCCAGACAATGGGCACATCGTGGGCAAGGGGGCGCCTGCAGCTGACCAGCATGGAGACATTTAAGTAAGAGGCCCTAGCAGGGGTCTGACCTTCAGGCACAGAGCGGCCAGGCGGCCTTTACACGTCCTGCCCAGGCTCTGTAGGAGGCCGGAGGGTGGGCAGGGAGGGCTCAGCCTTCCGGGAGTGCCAGGCTCCTCTCAGCTGACGGGTGTCATTTACTGGCTCCTGCCCACCTTCGAATACCGAGGGGGGGACCTTGGCCTTGGCAGTGGCTTTCGTGCCATGTCAGGTCCCCTGAGACAGGCTGAGTCCCAGGTGCTGTGTCCCCAGTGCTGTACAAAGGACTATTCTCAGTTCCCTCTGGCCAGAGCAGGTGGCCGCAGGTGTAGAGGGGTGACTGCCAAGGCCTGGCACCCACGGTGGATGCCAGCAGTCTGGGGAAGTGGCAGATCTTAGCACCAAGACCCAGGGTCCAGGCGGGCAAAGTCAGCGGCTGATGCTCACTATGTGCCAGGCTGCTCCCCAGCAGCGCCCTCACCATTGTGGGACATGCCTAGAGCCAGGCATTTCTGGAAGCGGCAGTACTGGCACTTGTTGCGGTTTTTCTTCTGGATCTTACAGCTCCGATCGCACTTCTCGTACTCCAGCTTCATACGGATGGTCCGGCGGAAGAAGCCCTGTGGGACCCAGAGTGGGTGAGGAGCCCGCTCCACCCGCCAGGCTGTGCCAAGGGGCCCAGACGCACCAGTGTGAACACTGGTGAAATGTGGAAGTAACAGGGGAAAATACTTTGGAAGAGAAAGGAAGAAAGCGAACTCTAAGCCTTTCTTTTTTATGGCCCTGGGGGCTGAACCTATGGGCACTTTACTATTGCACTATGTCCCTAGCCCTTTTTATTTTGAGACAGGGTCTCGCTAACTTACCTAGGCTGGGCTCAAGCTTGTGACCCTCCTGATTCAGCCTCCCTCAGCCCTGGGATTACAGGTGTGCACCACCACATGCAGCTTATAGATTGTTTTATTAAACCACCATTTATGAAATACAGAGCCACGTAGGTTTTGAACACATCAAGTTAGTCACAGTACAATTTTATGTTACCAGACTAACAAGGTTTAAGAGTTCTTTGAGCATGGAAAGTAAATGTGCTGTCTAATTTTAATTATTTCAAGAATTTAGGGTGCAGTGGTACACAACTGTAATTCCAGCACTTCAGAGGCTGAGGCAGGAGAATTGTAGATTCAAGACCTGCCAAAGCAGCTTATTGAGACCCTGTCTCAAAATTATAGACAGACAGATAGATAAATACCTATAGTTTTGTTTTGTTTTTTTTTTTTCTTTTTGGTTTTTCTCCGGTACCGGGAACTGAACTCATGACCTTGCGCTTGCCAGGCAGGCGCTTTGCCGCTGAGCTAAATCTCCAGCCCCCAGGTAGATAAATAGATAGGCGGATAGACAGGTAGGCAGGTAGGTAGCTAGGCAGGCAGGCAGGTAGGGCTAGGAATATTGCTCAGTAGTAGAGTGCCCTTAAGTTTCATCCCCAGTACCACATTAAAAAAAAAAAAGGGAAGATTTGTGAAAATTTGACACATGCAGTTAGGAGGAAAAACTCAGAAACATCACTGGGAAAATAAATGTAATGTTCTGTTTGTTTTTTTTTTTCCCCGCCCTCCAAGAGCCTCGAAAGGTCCTGAGACACAGGAAACCCTGACCTCAGGAAGACTGGAGCCCAGAGCCCTCCTTTCCTGCCTGCCTTCTGAAGTCTGGTCCCCAGGGGGCGCTGGCCACCCACAGCGGTCCAGCGAGTGCTCAGCAGGACAGGACAGCAAGGAAACCTGTCCTCTTCCCCAGGGCGCAGGATTTCACAGTGGGTATCGTCAGGCCCGGCCTCAGGCAGAGGAAGCTCTGTAGCAGGTCAGCTTGCCCTGTGACCACAGCCCCGCAGGCCCACACGGTCCGTACCTTGCAGCCCTCGCAGGCGTGGACGCCGTAGTGAAAGCCGGACGCCTTGTCCCCGCACACCCGGCACTCCATGTTGAGGCTGCCACCCGAGGCCCCATCACAGCCCATCTGCAGCTGGTCCAACAGCGAGGGCGGCGAGGCGCCCTGGGGGAAGTCTGTGGATACACGATGGAGGGCAGTGTCATAGTCTGACAGCTGGGAGGCACCCCTCACTGTGGGCCCAGCCACCTTCACCGTGTGGCCTGCCGAGAACCTTTCTGAGGACCCATGTCTTCACCTGCCCCATGGGGTTAAGGACAGCCCCTCCGGGCGGGTGTGCAGAGGCTCAGTGTGTCCCCCAGCGCCTGACACGGTGCACGCAGCTCAGGAGGGCCCCGCTGGAGGACGGGATGTGGGTGTGCGGAGCTCTGGCTGAGGGCAGAGGGAAGCAGCTCTCCCTCCTGCTTTTGAGGCTGCCCTCGTGGGCCCACATGGTTGGCGTGGCACGTTCTGTGGACGCTGCAGAAGCACAGAGCTCTGCAGAGCCATCTGTCCCCCTGCCGAAGCTCCCCGTGCAGACTCCACAGATGCTGCGGTGGGTCCCTCCAGAACCTCAGAATCACTCCCGCCAAACTCTGACCTGGGTGCCGCGAGCACAGGTATCAGTGACAGTGACTGAGCTAGGTACTGTTTCCCTGAATTTTTCTTCTCAGCACACAGCTGTCTGAACCGTGGTGTCAGGAAGGAAATGACGGGGACCTCACTGGTCTTGGCCTGCAGACCCTGCTTAGTGGGGCACCACGGCACCCAGGTGGCCGGTTCCCTCATCGCACTGGCCTAATGCCTGCTCTCTCATGGGGTGGCGGAGCGACTTCCTCAGAGGCAGAGCCACGTTCCTAACCAGGAACCAGCTGCTCAACAGGGGCACCCGAAGGAGCCCCCAGCCTGGCATCCTGTGTGCTCTCCTCTCTGGAGACCAGGGGACCCCTGTCCTGGCCACAGCAGCTAATCAAGCAGCACAGGCCCCAGTGGAGGGGCCCAGCAGGCTGCTCCCCTCCTGGATGGTAAGGTTTAGGGGCAACACGAGTTCTATAATGGCCTGCCCCATCCCAGGGCCTTCGCTCCCACCTTCACTCTCCCCTCCATCCCTCAGGCAAAGCAGCTGTGCTTTTCTCAGCAGCCTCGGTCATTACTTGACAGAGTCCACCTGTGTTTGTCTGTGGCTGGGTGCCGCCCACTAGATGTCAGGGACACGAGGGCAGGGAACCGCCGTGCAGGTGCTGGGCGCAGGGCAGTTTGGGAGTCTGTGGTCCTCAAGCTGCCCCCGGGGCCCGGCCTCAGCAGTACCAGCTGGGACCTGTTGCCCCTGGAGGCACGAGGACAAGGACAATAGCACTTATAGTAGCTGTGTGGGAAACAGTGAGAAAACATGCCACAAAGGCCGCTGTGGAAGCTGCTCAGACACCGAGGTACTGCCGCCTCCGACCTGGTGCCCTGTGCGCACTGCCACTCCCGTGCCCCTCACACGTTCCCTCTGGACCCAAGGACCCAGCCCCACCCAAGTCACGTCCACAGTGACCAAACACCGCAGGGGAGTCACACCCTTCTTCAGTCCCTCCTCCCCCCCCCCGCGTGGGCCAGGTGGCCCTGCATGTGGCAGCGCCTGCCTTTTCCGTTCTCCAACAGCCACAGACATCTGTTGGGCACCTGCTGGGTGCAGGGTGGGACGGGACCAGACCTGTCCTCAGCCAGCCGAGCAAGGAAACTGCTTCACAGGGGGAGGGCAGGGGCAGGTAAACGGTGTGGGGTCTCAGCCGCAGGGCAGGACTGCTCTCCTTCGTGGGGTAGAGGTGAGGACCCTGCATGACCTGACTGACCTCCAGGGGCGCAGGACCAGGGGGCACAGCGGGTGAGAACAGGGCTATGGAGGGAGCAGCCCTCCCCACTGTGTACCCTCTGTGAGACGTGCCACCACAGCACCAAAAGCAATGGGCCTAGCGCCTGTCGTCTGGAGCCTCCAGAATTGTGGGCCGAACAAACCTTTCCTCTTCTAAACTTTACTGTGTCCAGTATTTTGTCACAGTGACGGAAAGCTAACAGCCCTCCCACCGTGGCCCCACTAACCCCCTCAGCCTCCTGCTGGGCCCCCTCTGACTGTCCCCTTGAGCCACACCCTGCCAGGCCTGCGACCGGAGCTCCCTGTCTCCCAGGGTCTGGTTCCCAGCAGGGGACGGGGAGGGGCCCGCATCTGTCAGGCCCCTAAGTGCCCAGCATGGTAGTGTCTTTGTCACCTGCCTCACTGAGTGGGCTGGAAGCTAAACCCGACTCACCCGTGCAGGCCATGTGTTTGCAAAAACAGCGCCATTTGTTTATCACACGCATGTGCCAGGCACTCTACTGAGCGTACCACACCTGTTCAAGTCATACAGAGCCTCGAAACAACCCTTCAGATAGGGCTCTTCACCCCTTCTTTACAGGTAGGCAAACTGGGGTTCGGTCAAGTAACACACATGTATGATAGTGGTCGTGATGGTTTTATGTGTCAACCTGGCTGGCCCAGGGTACCCGTTTCCGGTTCAAGCACCAGCCCTACTACTACCTACACACATGTTCTCACTGCCGATGTAACCCTGTCACTGTAAACAACAGGGCTGCTGAGGACAACACTAGGTCATCGCCCCGATGTTTGGACTCGGTAAACAGCCGCCCCGTCACTTGACGGTGAAATATCAGTTTCGCCATCTTTGATTACAAGTTTGGCAAACAGACACTGTTGACCTTATTCCCACACACTGAGTATGGCTGAGCTCCCCTGCACATGCAGTCTCCATCGTGGGAGACACACGGCTGGCGCAGCCCCGAGGGCCACTGGGAGGGGCTGGTCTTCTGTTTACTCTGCTGGCAGAGCCCACAGGCAAACAGGCACCTGTTAGCTCCTGAAGTCGGTGCGTTCTGCAGGACTCAGGTGGGGGTACTGAGGAGCCCTTCACCTCTGCTGCCCCATCTCCCAGGACTGCGGGCGTCTTGGGGCGGGCACTCAGCCCTGTCCCTGTGGCCCGGCTGGCCCCACACAGTGCCCGACCCTGCCTGAACACCCCCAGGGACTTGCTGAGTGAGAGGGGTGCTGAGGCCAGCAGTAAGGACACGGAAGCAGGAGGTACCCAGGAGTGGCATGTGCGCCCTGGCGGCAGATGGCCCCACCCCAGCCAGGGGACCCTGGGATAAGTGAGTTCCTGGCAGCCTCAGTGTGCTCTCTGCAAGCTAACAGTGAAGTGTGTTCTGCTTGCGTCACGGGCTGAGGATGCTTTGCAGGTACTGAGCTCGGTATGGTATGCAGGGTAGGTGCAGAATGGCAGGGGGTTAGGTAAAGCCAGCAGTGCAGCTGCCAACTATTCGGTGGTTTTTTTTCCCCCATTACTTGGTGTTGAATTTAAGGCCTTCACATTGAGCTGTATCTCCAGCCCTTTTTTAAAAAGCTGAGGCAGGGTTTTGCTGAGTAGCCCAGGCTAGGCTCAAACTTGCAATCCTCCTGCCTCAGCCTCCCAGAATGCTGGGGTTACAGGTGTACACCACACCTGGCTTGTTTTGGGTTCTTCATGGTCCCCGCGGAGACTCTGAGGCTAATGTCACAGACTCCTGCGGGCAGAACAGGGAGCCAGCAATGCTGAGACCTGCGGTGGGTCAGACACACCATTTCCTGGGCCTTTAATGGGGAGGAGACTGAGACTGGGAGGGCCGAAGGCAGCAGGGAGGCCCATGGCTCAGTGGGGGACCCGGGCTTCCTGGCTGGTCTGTGTGATCTCAAAGCCCTCCCGCCCTCAGCAAAGGAAGAGGCCCTGGATCTCCAAGACCCCTCACCTGCCAGCTCCCTTTTACAAACATCAAACAACCTATTTTAACCTTTGAAGAAAAGCAGCACAAGTGCTTTCTTCGTGAAGAAAGCAGCGTGGCCTTGCTGAGAAAGGCACAGGGCATCTCATGCTAGGGTCTCCTCCGGGGACCCCACCCGGTGAGCCCCACCGCCCTGGGCTGCGGTCTTCCCAGCCTTCTGTGATCCCCAGGGCTTCTTATGCAAGAGACTCCCACTGTGTCAGGACTTCGCCCCTGCGGGTACCTCCAGACCTACCTCGTCCCTTTCGGCGACCACGGCGCGTCCCTGATGGCATTGGTGTGGCCTCCCAACCAATTCCTCGCAGAAAGTGGGCGATTTCCCCCTTCTGCTCTCACGAGCAGCGCGGCAGTGAACATGCTGCTGGGGACGTTTCTGTATTTACGCAGGGTGCCTTCCTACGGGGCACGGTCTGGCCATCCTTCAGGGCTGCAGGCCAGTCCTCACCCCCTGACCAACGCTGACCACGGTCCCCTCCAATGTGATACCTCATCTTAAGACACCTTCTCTGACCACCAGAGGAACTGAAAAAGTTTTATTTTCCAGCCACTTGTCTGACAGGGATCTGCCCTGCGTTTTTGTTTTTGTTTTTGTTTTTTGTTTTGGCTTTTCTCCGGTACCGGGAACCGAACTCATGACCTTGCGCTTGCCAGGCAGGCACTTTGCCGCTGAGCTAAATCCCCAGCCCCTGCGCTGCCTGTTTTGATTTTCTGTTAGGTGGCTGGTCTCGTAGAATCTGCGGGCACTCGGTATGAACTGTGGCTTTAACACACAGTAACAATGTGAAAGAGCCCTCTCCTGTGCGGAACAGGACGTGTTCCTCCCTCCACTCCTCTCAGGTGCTCAGGGAAGCCCACGTATTGATACACGGACGGCACCACGTAGGTGGCTGGGCAGAGCCTGCCGCAGACATTTCCCCCAGCTAAATCCCACCTGTGGAGCTGCCCGAGAGGCCGTCGCCACAGCTGCCTCGCTGACTTGGCTTCTAGCCGCTGTGGGTGAGCGTGACGGGTATGTGGCCGGGTCCCAACGGGTGTGTAGGAGCCGAGTACAGGACACGTCCATCTGCCCAGGCCCACGTACGGGGCCCAGATGGGCCGGGGCAGGCAGTGAGGTCACAAGTCCTGCGCCCTTCTTCCTCTCCCACTCTTCCTTGCCACTGTCCGGACATCCCTGACTCATGGTTAGTCCCAGTGTCCTCCCTGCCTTCCAGCCCAAGTTCAGAACGGCACGTGCTTTTGGGCAGCCTTTTCTCTTTCCTGAGGAAGACTGGTCCCAGAGTCACCCAGCCAGCTGACAAACAGCATGGCCTACTCGGGGCTGGGGTGCCGTCTCCAGCCCCACATCACACCGTGCCCTTTCCAGTGCCGGGGTGGGTCTGGAGGACTGACGCACGGCTCTCCCTTCACCCCAGCTGTGCTTCGCAGGTTCAAGGCGTGTGGCTCAAGGATGCAGCCTCTCTCGGGCTGGGCCTGGCAGGAGCCTGGACTCCACCTCCACAGCCTGACCCATCTTACTCCATGGGAAGCCGAACTGTTTGGCCACCAGGAACAACATTCATTACGGCCGGCCCTTCTCGCTGCTTAGCACTTAGGTCTAATCACCAGGCGGTGCAAGTCTGCCCACTGTAATTAGCACCACATCAACAGAGTCGCGTGTTTCCACCACCGTCACAATCGCAGGTACGGCGGCGCCTTCCCGGCAGGCACTGCTATGCTGGCTGGTCTCAGATGCTGGGGGGCAGCAGTGGTGGATGATGACAATGGCAATGACACGCATCACCCATGCCCCTCGCTTAGTTCTTACGAACCCAGGTCCACATCGCCAACCGTCCCTGTCTGCTTTCCCAAAAGAAGGGGCAGAGTTTGCACCAGGGCCTGCAGCTCTGGTGAGTGGGGGGCAGGGATGGGAGTCCAGGCCGCCTGGCTCCGGCTCTGTCTGCACTCCGCACGATGCGCTGCCCCTCTCACCTGTGTAGCTGCTGGAGGGAAGTGCATGCTCTGGTCCCCCGTGGAGCTCTGGGGCTCCTTCGGCCTCTGCCATTTCCTCTTTCTCCTCTTCCCGGACCTCAGGGGTCTCCTCCTGCGGCTGCTCCATGGCTGATCTCCCCTCGGTGCCACGCCTGCAGGCCTGGTCATAGCTCTGGCATCATCTGGGTCTGCGCGCAGAGGGACCTCTACAGGGCAGCTCCTGTCAGCCTGGGCGGACGGAGACAGGAAAACGTTAGGGCAGACGGTGATGGAGCATTCGGCAGGAGTGGGACAGGCTCGAGGCCCCCGTCACGGAAGCAGCTCTCCCGGCTCCTTCTCAGGCCCGGAGGCGCCCCCCATGGTCCCCGCTCCTGCACCTGAGTCACCTGTCCTACCGCCCTGTCCTCCTGCCTCCCACGGGAGGTTGGTGGGGTTGACAGTAGTGGTCATTAATCAGCCCGGGCGACCCCCACATTCTTGCCCTCTCTGCAGTGTCCTGCTCTTTGAGTCTCTGGGGCCTGTTAGAATGACAGCCTCCCAGGTGATCCTGGGTGAGTCCCTCCTCCCAATCCAGACTCAGGCTACAAATCCCTGCTCTCCTAGGCTGCTGCTCTTGAAGGGTGGGACCCATCCTTCCTCCGCTGGGGTGCGGGGAGAGACAGGCATTCCCCCTGTGCCTGGCTTCTGTTCACGGCAGTCCTGCAGCCAGACCTTCGGCACGGGGAGGTGAACTTACGGTGGTGACCCACGTCCCCCTTACCTAGGAGGAGGCAGTGCCAGCCCTCCGTGAGTGAAGTACCGTCCACCAGTGCTGTGGGCAGAGGCACAGACCAGGAGGCGCCGTGGGAAGGACTCCTCCTCCCAACAGGATCCAGCAGGGACAGCCCCACAGCCACGCCACCCCGGGCAGGGGCAGGAGAGGGAAGGATCTGCTTTAGGGGGACTTCCGCACCTGTGGGATCCTTTCCTTCCCCACCTTCGTCCTCCTTTAGGGATCCATATCTCCCCCGACTCACTGGCACCTGAACCTGGGGCTGATCGGAGCCGTCTCCTCTCCCTGGCTCTATTCTAGGCTTGCCAACCCTGGCTCTGTTCCAGCTGTATGCTGGAGTCATGGAGGCATTTTTAAAAATATGAACATCTAGCCAGGCGTGGTGGTGCACACCTGTGATCCCAGCCCTCTGGAGGCTGAGGCAGGGGGACGGAAAGTTAGAGTCCAGCCTGGGCAACTTAGTAACGTAGAAAGACCCTGTCTCAAATAAATAAATAAATACAAAGAAAAAGAAAAAGAAAAAGAAAAAGAAAAAGGACTGGGGATGTAACTCAGGGCAAAGGCCCTGGGTTCAATCTCCAGTACTGGGGGTGGGGGAAGAATTAAAAAAAAGAAAATATACACATACAGAGAGAGAGAGACAGAGATGTTGCAGTCCACCCCTAGAGATTCCAATGTGTGTGGTTTGGGGAGCAGAGTGGGGCTGAGAGTTCGTTTTTAATTCACCTGGTGATGGTAAGGCGCAGCCAAGCTTGAGAACCACTGCTCCAAAGCAACTCCATTGGGGAGTAAGTGGCTCCCTCCAGCACCGGAGCCCCTCCCTTGCCTGGAGCCCAGCAACCTCCTCCCAGCTCCCTACAGGCAGCACGGGTGCTGGGCCTCCACCCTAAGTGGCTGGGGCGGGGGATGTGCACATCTGGGAAGCCTTGCTATGTGACAGCCGCAGGAAGGGAGAGGTCCTCAGAGGAGACAGCAGTGTGTCAAGGGGAGAGAAAGGAAGAGGCACCAGGCAGAGTCAGGACAGCCCTGGGACGGCTGTGTGTCTCAGAGCCAGGGCTGAGCTGTGCAGGGGGGGCGGGTGCAGGGCGACCTATGATACATGGCTGGTGACTGTGAGGTCAGCAGAGGCCCCGAGACAAGTTTCGGTCCTGCGGGTGACAGGGAGACCTGGGCTCGGAAGAGTAAGCAGAGGCAGGAAGGTGGGATGGCAAAAGGAGACTAACTTGGGGGCAAATATGTCAGGACAACAGGAGTTCGAGAAGATGCTATGGGGGCTGGGGATTTAGCTCAGCGGCCCAGTGCCTGCCTGGCAAGCGCAAGGTCGTGGGTTCAATTCCCGGTACCAGAAAAACAAAACAAAACAAAAAAAAGATGCTAGCTGGGGAAGGGAGCAAGGCCACAAAGAGATTTTGGAATTTTTCAATAAATGGCATGGGACACTGAGTAGTCACTGGAAAAATTAAGTTGGGTCCCTACCTCTTAAGCCTCCACATTTTATACCAAGACAAGGTCCAAATGTATCAATATTTAAAGTTAAAACAGGGCTGGGGATGTAGCTCAGCAGCACAAGCGCCTGTCTAGCAAGTGCAAGGTCTTGAGTTTGATTCCCAGTACCACAAAAAGTTAAAACAAAAACCCATAAACTACAAGAAGTTCTGAAATATAAATAAAAATAGTCTTGGAGGGAAGAAAAGCTAATCACAACACTAAACCCATATAACTATTTACAGAAACAGATTGTGGATAAAAGATCAACACATTTGATTACATAAATAAACTTTCTGCATAGTAAAGTCATTCTAAGAAAAAAGCCGAGATAATACTGAGAAAAATATTTACAACTTCCACCAGAGAAAAGGCTAATTAATTTCCCTAAA